TGGCTGTCCCTGTCTAGCCTGTGAACAGCAGTTTCCTTGCAGCCAGGAGGGCTCTCCCTGAGCATGCCGGGAAACTGGAGGACTTGCTCTTCAGTGCAGCCCCTCACCTTGCTGTGCCACTCTGGTGGGGCAAAGGGACCCCAGTCTGCCCCCCCCCCCCACTTGCCCAATGAGAATTTCTCCAGCCTGGGGAGGGGGGTCCAAACCAGATACACACGTTGCACAGTGCAAATCGGGCATGTCTACACCGCCCCACATTTCGAAATTACGTGCTATTTCCAGCCATCCCTGATCCCTCGTGCTGCGAGATTCACCGGGCTGGCGAAATAGCAGGCCCCTTATTTCCAAACAATATTTCCAAATGACCAGTTGCTTGTGATGATTCAGGGTAGCTATCTCAGAAATAGCTGTGCCATGTAGACGTAGCCTTGGGTTTCAGAGCCTAGCAAAACAGGGTTGGTGTACAAATAGGTTTTCTAGTCAGTTTGATTTTAACTCCCCCCCCCCTTACCACAATTCTCAAGGAGGAATGACACATGAAATCCACCTTTAATTCAAATAGGAAAGTTATCAAATATGTATATGTAGCCAAATGACAGAAATAAGGCACTGTGGTGTCTCTTAAGAGACATTTAATGCTGTTGGCGGTTGCTTCAAGTCACTTAGCCTCCTTCAAGGGCAGAAAGCCTTTTGGTTTGGAAGGCCAGAGTCCCAGGGATGGGCTCAAAATGTAGCCATCCTCTTAAAGATCTTTGTTTTTAGAACTTCCAAGGATAGCCAGAAACTCTGTCTCCCTCTGTATCTAGGTAAAGGATAGCCGGAAACTCTGTCTCCCTCTGTATCTAGGTCTGGAATCCAGCATCTCTTCTCAGATTTGGGGTGGGGTGGTTGCTACCATCTTGGCTGCGTATTGCTGGCTGAAAGGAAGAATCCTGTCCAAATGCATCCTCCCCGTGTGCGACATTTTGGCTGCTGGTGGCTCACTCAGATTGTAGCATGGGTGCAGCTCTCAGTTGGGAAAAACCAAAGGCCACGTTGTGTCCATGGGTGAAAGGTCTGCCCCAACTTCAGCTATTCTGCTTGCTGGTGACTCTATATATGTTAATGTTCTCAGTTTCATCTCTATAGGCCAGTTCTGAGGTGAAGTGCTCTGGGAGCAGCCCATCATAGAACACAGCCGTGCTGTGCTCCTGACGCATTTTGGAAGACAGGTAGATGGTTGAATGCGGGCCACACAGGTGCCGGAGAGTCCTGATGAGCATGGGGTACGTGTCTTTCAGGTAGACGATGTCTGCACCCAGGATGAAGTCGTAGTCCCGCAGGAACTCCTCATGGTTCAAACCCCACGTCAGAGCACAAACTCTGGCCCGAGCTAAATGCTCTGCAGGCACATTCCTACGGACGTTCTCCTGTATCTGCTTCAAAGCCAGTGGGAGATCTGTGAGTGTTACATCTCCTCCTGGAAAAGACAAGAGCAACCCAGAAGGTGTTGGTGTTGCTTAGCAGGAAAATCCAGCCCTCCTAGGATGCATCATCAGGATGTTACATGATTTTCTGCAGCCCCCTGGATCCATTACCATGCAATAGATCCATTTGTCTCATCTCCAGCCTGTCTATACATCCTGGCTAATGCAGAGGTACAGGCTGTACAGGTAGGACCTCCTTGGTCCGGCATGCTCAGAACCTGGGCAGTCCTGAACCTTGGAGATTGCCGGATATGGGGAGGTCAAGGCTTCCCTGCTGGTTGTCAGTCCCACTCCCACGTTACCCCCAGCCCTGTTAGGACTGTGCTCCCACCTGGGGATGGGGCTGTGCTCCCCACTGCACTGGGAGCGCCAGGCCCCGCCGCCTCCAGCCCCAGCTGTGCTCTCCATTTACGATGACCCACTGCAACCAGGGCTACACTCCCCATTGGGGGCTCAGCCCATGAATCTGGTCAGCTGGGACCCTCTAATCATATAATACTAGAACTGGAAGGGACCTTGAGAGATCATCAAGTCTAGTCCCCTGCCCTCATGGCAGGACCAAGCACCGTCTAGATCACCCCTGACAGGTGTCTGTCTAACCTGCTCTTAAATATCTCCAGTGCTGGAGATTCTACAACCTCCCTAGGCAATTTATTCCAGTGCTTAACCACCCTGACTGGGAGAACGTTTTTCCTTATGTCCAACCTAAACCTCCCTTGCTGCAGTTTAAGCCCATTGCTTCTTGCCCTATCATCAGAGGCCAAGGAGAACAATTCCCCTCCCC